GGGCTTGAGTTCTGAGATTGCATTTTGCTCTTCTCATTGTCATTTTGTGTAGCACTGTCTTCTGACCTTTGTTGTAGATCTTTGGTGCAGTTATAACCTTAGCACCTACTGAAGTTCAGGTGCAGATCTACAAAGTTTGGATTTATCCAGCTGTGCCTGGCTTGGGTCTGACTGCTGTTCTCAGCTCCTTCTTGCTGCTGCCCTTGGGAGTGAACCTGTTGTGCCCCTCTGGCAAGATGCTCTGCTCCTGGACTAGCTGGGTAGTTCTGTCCCATACATTCTCTGCAGGTATTGCAGCTGCAGGGTTTCACCCCAGGCCTGTATGCCAGGCCTGAGCTGAATCTGAAGGGGACAACGGTGAGTAGGGAGGAGATTCAGCTCTCCCACACACTCACCGGGCCTGGTCTAGGACTGGATCTTGGGGTTCCCGGAACACAACAGAAATTTCTGTTCGGTGGGTGGGGTGGGAGGGTACTACAAAGTTGTGGGGGGTGTCCCAAGGAGGTGAAAGAGGGTCTCACCCACTCTGTGCCTGGTCTGGAACCAGTAGGTCTCGCCAGCGCAGGGTAACGGGAAGCTGTCCCACACACTCACTGGGCCTGGGCTAGGACTGGATCTAGGGGTTCCAGAACATGGTAGAAATTCCTACTCAGAGTGTGGGGTGGGGGAGGTGCTGCGGAGTGGTGGTGGGATGTCCCAAGTGGAAGGAAGAGGGTCTCACCCACTCTGCGCCTGGGCTGGGATGGCAGGTCCCACTGCACCTGGCCTGGACTAGGACACCCAGGCCTGGGCTAAGACTCCATTTTTATTATAAACATAGTTTTACTGAATAATTTTGTAGACAGCTGTCCTTTTTGCCTCATGATTTTCTTAGGACAATCCCTAGAAATACCATATGCATTTTAAAGTTTCCAATCATTTGAATGGCTGAACTGCTTTAAAATGCTTAGGTTGGGATATACATTATATGTTACATGTTATATGTAATATATACAATTTTAATCTCTTAAAAAACAAAACTATAAGAAATAATTTGAAATATTTTCATTTTCATCATGCTTTGACTTAGTTTCTACATGTATGCTATCTTCAAAACAAGGTACAGAATGAAATATTTGTTTCCTAGCAAATGTAAATGACAACCCTGGTTACAAGGAAAAAAAGTACATGAATAGTCAAACAAAAGCCAAAGAAACACCAAGCATATAAAATATTTTTATAATTTGTAAATGAGAAATGACTCTAAAATAAATACACAGAGAGGGCATTTTTCACACAAGAACTTTTTTTTTTTCTTTGAATGAAGGTCATTACGCAGTGGATATGTTCCTAGCTTTTAACAAAAAGTGTTTACTTAGAAAGAGACAGGTGAAAATGAAAAACGGTCATGTGATCAGAATCTGACAGGTGATAATGAGCCTGTTGGGAGTGAGCAAGCTGGAGGTGCATTCTAGCAATATGGGAAAAAAAACATTTCCTACACAAACACCACCATCTGTTTTTTAGGCCCTCAGAAAAGAACATATCAATAAATCATATTTGAGACTTGTCTATCAATTTGAAATAGAACTGAAAGTGTATCATGAATCTTTACTGGATTCCACATCTCACCCATGTGTTCTCTTATGAAAGTCAGGAATAGGATACAGCTGATGTAAAGGTAGGAAGAGTTGAAATTACAGCGTTTTTATTGCTTGTCCCAAAGAATCCCTATTTCTAACCTAACATACAATGGTTGTGTTAATTCAAATTTGTTTTTTGTACCTCCTCTTTCCTGTTGAGCTTTGGAAAATGAGATTTTGTGTGTTTTTATTAATGGGGAAAGGTGAATACAGGAAGAGTCCTAAAAGATACACCTTTGATTGCCTATAAGGAGGAAAAGGATATTGCAAATCTTTATTTTGGTTTAAACATTAGTTACATGTATTCATAGTCAATGAAAATTAAATGAATAGTAGAGAAAATTCTTTGCAAGTTTCTCATTTAGCTTGATGATTTCCTTCATTTCCCTATTTCATCCAGACAAGGGTTTTTCACAGATTTTCCCTTTCAGGGATTGGTTATCTTGATTGGCTGTTAAAAGTCCATTGTAAATGTAGCTGCAACTTTGGACTTCTTAGGTTTGTTTTTATAAATATGGGGTTCACATTAATATATTTTTCTCTTGGCTAGGTTTAAGAAAGCCCAAAGTGCAGCTCAAATCAATCACTATTACTTTTCTTAAGGTTTTCCTAACTCCACCTTAACTATGCCTACCATCCTTAACTTTCCTCCAACAAAATTCATTTCACCTTTTAAAATTAGCTCTTGGTATATAGCTTTGGCTAAGAGAGTAATCAATTTATAGTAGGAAATGGACCCACAGCCAGCACACTTCAGTTTTTGATAGTTACAATTCCCAAGTAACCTCCAGGTTACTTCAATTCCTGTTACTAGCTCCTGTCACTTTTGATTCCCGGAAACAGCTGGTCACTACAACGCATGGCTGGTCTCTGTGATGTGCATTGTAAGAACCAATCCCCAAATGACAAGTACTCTGCACTTCCATTTTTCCACCCCACAAAAACCTCCTTCCCAGTGCCTTTGGGCTGAATTCTTTGGGAACAATCCCAGTCTGCCCACCGGTGTAAAGCTGATTCGTGCCTCCAACCCTCAAGCCACTGTGTTCTTGGTCATGGCTCTGCTGTTACACATTCTGTATTGTAATCTATTTGCTTGTGTGTCTACCCAGCTAAGCTTCATTCTTTCAAGTTAATTTTTCAAAGATTCACTCTAAGTTTTTTTTCTACTCAAATCTGAAAGTAAATATATATCCAGGAACTCTCTTATGAATACTAAGTGTCTTTGAAGTCAAAGACAGGAGAGTCTATAGATTCAATGATCTTGAGGGTTTTCTGTAGCAACAAGAAAAATTTTATGGATAGTGTTTCTCAAAATGCATTCATTTTTCTCAGATTTTATTACTCAGGAAAAGAAAATTGGAGAAAATAACAACAGAAGACAGTACCTGTTTTGTGCTTAGACTCATAGGCAGTCAGTTGCTGTTTATAGACAATACAAGGTCAGTGTTCTGTCAGAAGTGCTTTAGAAAAACCACGTGTGGAGCCAATGACATAGTCCAGTGGCACAGCACCTGTCTGCCAAGCTCAAGGTCCTGTGTTCGATTCTGCTGTTAGAAAACAAAAGAAAAAGGAAAACGATTATGTGACTCCAGGTATCCACCAGAAAGAGGCTATGGACAGCGTTTCAGGTGTTTTTCATGTATGCTGTTTTTTAGAGGATCAGCATGTAGACTTTACATTTAAGCACTATTTGTTTAATTTTCTGCCTATAGACTTATTGAATTTTACTCAAATTATATTGACCTATACATTACTCTCCCCCAAATATCAGTAAGATTTTTGTGGGCATATATTATCACACACTTAACTATCTGGTTATGAGTGCAAAAATATTCTTTGGCTTTTTAAATGGTATTACTGTATTTCTATTAATAGGCCCAAACTGTTCCTACTATTGTGTTTCTGTTAAAGATGCAGAGGTAGTGGTGTATAGCCATGAGGCTGGGCAAAATCAAAGTGCCTATAGAAATTATTATGTTTATATGAAAAGTAAAATAATCAAGGAGCAATACAAGGTGTGATCAAAATATACAGGGAATATTCAAATAAATTTCATCACAGTGAAAGACACATCGAAATGAATCTCCCTCAAAATATTCCCCTCATTTCAAACACACTTATCCTCTTGTTCTTTTTTGTTTTCTTTTATAAGTATATAGTTGTGATGCATTAAGCATATGTCCCAGGCAACTTGTGCATCTATGAATCTCATCTTAATTGATTTTACTTCCTTTCCCTTCGCTTGTTCTTACCACTGTCTGAAACTGTGTGTGTTTTTATGTGAATGTCTTTATGAAGTGTGCTCAAAAATGCAATGAATGCTGAAGCCAAGTGCCATCTCATGGAAAGGTAGGCTCATGGAAACATTGCAGTGAGTCTTCGTAGACCTTATTCACCAGATCTGACACTGAGCAGTTCTAGCTTTTTCGCAGAGTCCAAATGGCCTTGAAAGGTAACTTTCTAATTGATTCATGGCACAGAGGTAGTGGCAATAGTACAACTAATGACACTCTTGAAGGGGTCATTCAGAACAGCTTCAGAATGTTGCAAGAGTAATGAGACAAGTATGTCCAAAGGGAGGGGAAATGCTTTGAAAGAGATTATGGGCAATATGTCCTTTATTCTACTACTTACAAAAGTGGTTAAACAGTCACTATAGTTTTTGATCATACCATATACAGTTGACTCTCATGCTTGGGGAGATGAACACAGTGTGGGCATTTAATACTATTTAATGTTTTGTCTATATGACATTTCTTCAGTCTGATTAATTCAATAACTTCTATTAAACATTGAATATTCTTTTTATGATACAAATACAGTGGTGGTGGTTGTGGAGAGAGCTCAGCAGTCTAAGTGCCTGCCTAGCAAGCACAGGAACTCAGGTTTGATCCCCAATATCATGTGCTGTGCTGGCCCTGAAACTGACCACGGTGGCGCACTCCTACAATCCCAGTGCTGGGGTGGCTGAGGCAGGTGAATCATGACAAGTAAGAGCTGCATAGCGAGATTCTATACCAAATAAAAAAGTAAACACAGACAAATACAGTGGTGGTGAGGGACTGTGGTTATAGATATAAAACATAAAGCCTTTTTTTCTTAAAAATATTAAAGTTTCATGGGCAGAATAATATGTGAAGGATGCTGTTCCATACTACCCATCCAATTCTTACCTTGTTTCAAAATCCAAATCTGATGGTATCTCTTTGGGAAGCCTTTCCCAGCCTTTCACATGCTAGAACTAATTAACTCATCAATTTTCTGTATTCTCTGTGTGTTTTATATGCCTTAGGTTGGAATTATCTATCCTGGATGTCTCTCTTAGTAAACTATGAACTCCTTGAAGATACAGGTGGAAGGGGTCAGGGAGTTAGCTCAGTAGAATAAGTGCTTGCCTGGAAAGCGCAAGGGCCTGAGTTCAATCCCCGGTTCCACAAGAAAAAAGAAAAAAGATACAGGTGGAATATCTTTTATTTTGGTATCTGGAATACCTGGCATGTAGTAGACTTCCAAGCAGTATTTTCTGCATTGCTTTGACAGCAGAGTGGTGGAGCTCCTGAGGCTAGTAAGGGGTTATTTGCTCACAGATAACCAATGAAGGCACAGATGCTGAGCATCCATCCATGTCTGTGATGCAGAGATATTTTCAGGAGGGGATAATATTTAAATATTTAACTCAATTTTTCTTAAAATTTTTCTTTCAAGAGAGGATCTTGTTATGCACTTTAGGCTGGCCTTGAACTCAACACATAGCCTAGGCTGGTCATTGGAGATGACAAGAAATCAGCCTTTAATTCATTCAACTTGCTCAAAATGACTAGGGATGGGAAGCTCATAATGAATGGCTGGAATGATACTGGGGAGTTCACCTGGTATTCTCCAGTGTTTTTGTGGTATCCTAGACTTATGGCTACCACAACAATTATCTTCCTGAGTTATAATTTATATCTTAATAGTCTTTTTTTATAGATTCCAAGAAATATGGCAAGTTTTTCTTTTTATGTATTTAGTACAGGGTCTACAGGGTCTCACTACATAGATCAGACTCCTAGTGATCCTTCTGTCTTCAGTCTCCCAAGTGCTGGGATTACAGGCATGCACCACCAGGCCAAGTCTCAATCCCTGTCTCAGTGTGACCCAGGTGTGTGGCTGGCATGGCTTGTGGTGCCAGGGATCAAACTTCCAACCCCTGTGCTCTGCCTAAGTAGGCACTTTAGTCCGCTGAGCTACCTGGTTGACTCTGATATGGCAAGTTTAACAAAGACCATTTTATTCATGGTCCAAAATAATAAGAGGGTTTTGCATAGAGTATATGTTAAAAAATGTTGATTTTTACCCTTTTGATCCAGTTCTCATGCTTTCAAATATTACAAATATAAACATTAAGGAAAATACAAATTATTTAATGAATCTAAAACAAAATTGAAGGGCAGAAGATCAATCTGCTTTCCTAGTAGTTAGCAGCAATTGGGTTTTGGAACTGTTTGATAGTAGTGGGTGAAGACTTGAATTTTGGCTTCAGTTCCTATTTTCAATTTTGTGTCTAGCCAAGGTGAGAATCAATTCTGTGTGCTACAAAGCAGAGAGCAAAAGCATCACTTATCCATCCGTAGACACTCTGAAGACCTAGCTCAAATTCACTAAGTGTGTCAGTGCAGTGTTGGGGTGAGGGGAAACACTTTAAGACTCCATCAACATTTTCTTTCTCTCCTCTTGTATTTGTATGGGGTTTTTCTTCCTTGTGTTAAGGTCAGTGCATCAGCAAATCCTTGACTTGCAATAAGGATTCTGACTGTGAAGAAGATGGCACTGATGGGGACAGTGTGAAGACTGAGAAATAAGACTTTCCTGTGACATTGATCAATCTCCTCCCTACATAGAATAAGACGCAGTGGATAAGATGCTGAGTAGCCTGAGTATGTATAGATTCTAGTTTTTAATTTTATTTTATTGCATAATTTGGTGAGTCTAATAACAAGTCAACTAATAATCAATACTTTTTATTGACTCAAAGCTCTTTGCTACATCCTAAACCAATTTTCAAATTCATATCTGTGTATCCATAGCTACATGCAGTAAGATGTAGAATGGCCCATTGTTTTTAGATTCTCTGATTTTAGCACTGAAAGTTCTGCATTCAGAGAAACCCTTCACTCTCAGTGAAATCTGGATAGTTAATCACATTATGGAAATGGATGGGGGGGGCTGGTGGGAGAGAGAGAGACACACACACACATACACACACTCAGAGAGAGAGAGAGAGAGACAGAGAGAGAGACAGAGAGAGAGACAGAGAGAGAGAGAGAGAGAGAGAGAGAGAGAGAGAG